AAAAGTCGAGAGTCGAGAGTAAAAAGTCGAGAGTCGATCGAGAGTAAAAAGTCGAGAGTCGGCAAATGTCATCAAAAACAACAAAGTCAAAATACTTTTACAGTAACACAATATATAAGCGATCCGTAACAACGGCTGATTATAGCCGTACGGGCGAGGGGGGGGGGGAGGCAGTCCCGCACCCCAGTCAAAATAAATTCGGCCAAAAATTGGGGGAAATAAATTTAAAAAGAAGACAGTATATGCAATATGGTATTTGAAAATACCAGAAATATGTAAAAGTAACAAGGAATCGACAAATAGGAAAATATTTTTGTCTACTTCCCAACGACAATTTTGGAAATTTAGTTACACGGAAAATTTTATTCAGTGGGTAAAAGTCGGGTAAATTTCTTTCTGGCTCCCTGATTTTTTCCCGCCCGTACGCCTATGACGGCTGAACTAATTTCATTTCCTGTGTATCGGAACATAAAGCAAACAATATTTGCGAAACATAATTTAGTATGCTCAAATTCTCGAAATTAAAGTAAACAAGAGGCATATACATGCAATCAAAGGAATAATCCAGTACAATATAAAACAAAAACTTTCAATAATCAAATAACTATTATCTAATAACTAGTTTTATCGCTTCCTTATATATTACTGTCCATCCTTCCCGCTTTACATGCACCTATTTCCGCGAAAAATTTCTCATATGTGAAGCTACATATAAATACTAGGACTTTACAATCACGTGCGAGACATATTACCACCCGATAGAGTCGCACATACGACAAAAGAATCCTATTTTTACTGGCTCGTATCTATGAATTCACAATTGTATGAATCGTTAGATTGTGATCAACGTGGATTTCTTAATACGCTCTCGTTTGATATAAACGTACGTTAATGAATAAGTGACATTTTAGTTACAAGCCTGGAGATGGCTGTCAAAATTCAGTGAAGTTTATCATCACTTAGAATGAAATGACATGTGAAAACATGTAGCACGTTTGAGGCATCAAATGCGATATTATTTTCTTATCCAATACTTCCAATCTTTTCTGTTTTTGTTATCACGTTATTATTATTGACAGTGGCGGAAATCTTGGTGGGGCGGGAGGGCGACCGCCCCCGCCCCCCCCCCACCTTCCGGAAAATTGACGAATTTTCGGAAATTTTGATCTAAAAGAGGGCTAAAAACAGTCTTTTCGAGTGCAAATGGGGGGGGGGTACGTCGGAAATTTCAAAGTTTTGTCGGAAATTTAGGAGGCTTTGCCCCCCCCGGAAAAAGTGAATTTCCGCCACTAATTATTGACTGTTGTAGGACTTGTAGCAAATACTAGCAATGGAAAGTTTGTATTTCAGCCGTTGGTACTTGTTACGGAATGGCTATGTAAAGCTATATATATATATATATATAGATTGTGTTAAACGTGGTTAAAAAATAAAAATATTTTGACTTTGTTTCTGATGACATTTGCCGACTCTCGACTTTTTACTCTCGATCGACTCTCGACTTTTTACTCTCGACTCTCGACTTTTTACTCTCGACTCTCGACTTTTACTCTCGACTCTCGACTTTTCCTCTCGACTCTCGACTTTTACTCTCGACTCTCGACCTTTACTCTCGACTCTCGACCTTTACTCTCGACCCTCGACTTTTAGATACACTCGCCCAAGGGCAAGCACATCATTTACTCATGTAGAACATGTAAATTTGACTATGACGTAATATTTACATCAAGTCTGCGCTACGTTCTTTCTTTCAAATAGGTGTGTTGGAGGATGTATTATCAAGAAAATACGTAAAACGTTACGCTTTCCTGCAGTATACACTCTAGCTGATTTGAAAGTCTGCGAAAAACCTCAAATTGGGTCTGGAGTTTACACTTACATGTAATAGTTTTTGACACCAAAAATGCTTTGACTAAAGAGAAAAGAGTGCCAGTGTATCTCATTGAAAGACATATGATATTATTTTAGAAGTCTGTGAGTGACTATATCTTGCTATATTGAGTCGATCTGTGTACTAGCCAAGCATCTGTGATTAGGCCAAGCGTCTGTGGTGAGCTTTGGATATATGGACATAGCCTACATGGGCAGGGTTTGTTTTCATATTTTGGCTAGAAACATTGAAATAATCTTAAAATCTACACAAACACCTATTTTATTTCCATTTGACAAGCTTTACTAAAATAAATCATGAATATCTTGAATAAGTACATGACAAACTTTCTATTTTTTATCTTATATAAATAAGGACAATAACACCTTGAAATAGTGGATTAAATAAAGTAAACCATTTAGTCTTTACGACTTTACTTTTAAAGCTTATCACCATTTACTTTGCCCACTACAAAAATTGCTTGAAATATCTTTTTAGACAAATTTTGTACCAAACCCGATGGGCTTTTTGAAATCATAAGTCAAAATACAGGAGATTTTATAGTGTTCAAATATTTTATAGTGTTGCTGCGTACGAGGGGCATTTCACTCCAAAAAAGCGTACGGGATTTTCGGATTTTTAAAAATCCGCGGATTTTTCCCGGATTTTTTAGCGGATTTTTGAAGAGAAAATTTGCTGGATTTTTTCCGGATTTGTTCGGATTTTTTCTGGATTTTTGAAAATCTATTGGATTTTCCGGATTTGTTTGGATTTTCCGGATTTGTTCGGATTTTTTCCGGATTTTTTTTAATTATAGAGTTATAGAGCTAGGTAACGTTTTGAACAAATAATCTTAAGTTGTACGATGTCAACGTTATGCCAGGACGTCAGGGTCGAGCAGAGGACTGGGACTATGACCACAGCCTTCTGAAACTAACGAAGGCTGG